AAATACCGGGAAAGCTAGGGGACCAGAGGCTATCTTAGGAGCAGGAGCAGCACAGGACCTGCTGGCGTGGCTGGAGGAGGGCACTGCAGGGTGAGGGCTGGTGGACTGCGGTCTGTGCAGGAGGCGGTGTGGATGTGTGAGCTCCTGCAACCTTCCCAAGACTGGATGTCTGGATGCCCAGGGGTCCCAGCAGGTGTAAGAGAGCAGGACGTCCAAGGAGGAGGTGTTGATGGACTCAAGTCTCTTTCCTTGGACTTTCAGGGAGACAAGCAAAGGGGTTGCTGCTGCTTTAGAAACCTTGCTTGTCAAAACACCTGGCTCATCTTTCTAACCTCCAAATTCTACACTCTGTCCACTGGCTTGCCCACTACCGTTTCTCTAACAGCAGGGCCTTCGTCAGCCCCAGGCATGACTGCCTATGTCTCCAGTCCTCCACTAACAATCACTTTCCTGTGGGCTGCCTGGGCCTCGGTGCCTCCCTCCTGTGTGCCCAGGACAGGGACGCCAGGTGACTCCCAGCTGGGCACACACAGACAGACAGCTCTGGGAAGCAATCTCATTGCCCACGTCGCCTCGGGACCACATCAAACATGTCTAGAAAGTACAGCACATTTTCTGAAAATAAATACAATTGCTTTACTGCCTATTTTTCCTGGAGGGAAGGCAAATGTGTCTGTTATTTTGTTCTAAGAAGAGCATACGGAGGTTTCAAAGGACAAGGTAGATGAGAAAAATAGCAAGCTGAACGCAATTTTAATTTTCTAATTAGTTACAAAAGAGCTGATGAGCAGTTTGAGTAAGGGAGGAAATAATGAAAGTGAACAATGAGATCGTAACATTGCTCCATGTTTTCTGAGTTAGCCAGGCAAGGCAAAGCAGCTTGAGGAATATATCTAGTAGAGAAGAGTAAATGACAATGGCAGATATTCGCCAAGTTTACAACTATAATGCTTTCATGGCAAAATAAATGTAACCAAAATTTACACACATCATATAAAATAAGTTGATTCCTGATTTATATATGAAACCGGAGTTGTTCTACAAGGAGGTTTTATTTTTAGTTAGAAGTTTTTTTGGATGAATAAAACACTCAGGCTTTTCCTTTTACTAACAAAAAATATTTCCCGTCTGACTTGAAGTCTTACTAAGGATGCATTTTTTAAAAAGGAAGCTAAAAGAATTCTCTCATTCCTTATGCGATCATCTCTTCCCACTCATAGACAGGGAAATCTGTAGTGTATGATTTGGGTCCTGACTCCCAGCAACAGAAACTATTCCAGAGTTGTTTTTAAAATATAACTAGTGAAGAAACATTCCTTCATAAGGGTAACCAGAACTACGTTACTAGTGTCCACACAATAATCAGGGCTTCATTATTTGAAAAACAAACAGTCCACCACACACGGAAGTAACACCTGCATTAGTCAGGGGCTTTCAGGTACGGGGCACTGGTGTGACTGCTGTCTCCTCCCACTCTGGTAGGCAGATGACTGCAATACCCATCCTCCCCAATTCATGGTTTCTCCAAAACGCATCAGTTAGAGGCGGTACCCACACAAAATGGCCATTAAAAAAAATTTCACCAAAATGAATACCGAAGAATTTCATCAGCACATTCAAGCATGGAGTTCTAACTGAGGAGGCAGGCAGTGCCCAAACACTTCTGGACACAGTAAAGCAACAAGGCCGAGAGAACAAAACTGAAAGCAGTGCCGGCAAAGCAGGAAAATGTGGATGAATCACAGGCTGGGGAACGTCAGAGGGTAGGAAACATCACTAATGATGCATATCGCACACGGCAGACTGTGCGCACACAGGTGCACACATATCATGCACACACGTGAGAGTAAAATGCAGAAGGAAAAGCAAAACAGCTTATGTGAAATCCATCCTTCATTCAGAGGTGCTCTCTGCCAGATCACGAAGGTTTCCTCTGTTGCTTTATGTCTCAATGTTCTCTGTTGGACTGTGATTCTAAATGAGTAAAAAAATTAATCTTTTCCCTGTCTTAAAGAAGAAAACATCGCATCCACGCAGACATTAAGATCGCTAGGTGCTACTTTGGTGGCTGGAAGGCTGGAATCTGTGTGCTTCCTGGCCCTCTCAGGATTTAAATAATTTTATGTGACACAGCCGATGTGCTGATCAATAAAAAGACAACAATCATTTACATCGAGCAGTGAGTGCAATTTCAAGAATTTGCCTTAACCAAGCTGAGTGTCTGGAGTGGAATCGATATGCAAGCACCCTGCTAGCGAGTGGCGTAAATGAAGTGTGGCTGAATTTCCGCACCGATATATATGGATCAAAGAACAATCAAATCAACCAAGAGGATGAGTCTGGGAAGTGGCACAACGGCGGTACTTTTGAATGCATAATACTGTAAAAACCCAGGAAAGCAAACAGCTGTTCTCTTCCCTTTCCCATTTCTTCTCTATTTATCTTATCATTTGGGAAAAGCTTTCTTGTATTGCAGTTTGATTACATGTGCATTTTGCAAATTTCCAGATGTGTTCAGTTGCTTTCATCTACATTATGGCTTTACATTTTAGGTCCACATGCTTCCCTAATCAGAGTTCTTATTCCTCTACACAGTAAATTAGATTGAGGATTTTAATATACCCCATTCAGTTTGTGGAGATTGTGGACATTTTTTCCCCAAACTAGTCTTTTTAGATATATTGGTCTTCCAACTTTTCAATAGATAATCAGTACCATTATGTCGTACTGTAAAATGAATCTCTTGAAGAGAACATTCACTTTTCTGTAAAAAAACCCCACCTTGACAGGTGAAGCTGAGATAATTTCCTCTCTCCAATTTGTGCAAAGATAATTTACCACTTGAGACAGGCAAAGGCGGAGACTGTAAGGTTTCCCCAGGATGCTTTCTGAACACTGTCCCGTAAGAAGTGATCCTGATTTTAGCATCACGCGTGTGGAGGACAAAGACAGAGAGCAAGTTTGTTCCTCTCAAGATGCTGATGCCGAGGAAGAAGGTACAATGACACAGAATGCAAAGTGACCCTGGCAACTTCAGCCAATACCAGCGACATGTAATCCAGGCAGAGCACAGCTGAACTTGGAATGGAGCGTTACATTGGCTGTGGATGGGGCACGCATTCAGAAACCCACACCCTCGCAGGTTTCACAGAGCTGGGCCTCATGAAACGCTGTAAAATCAGTGATAAAAGCCATGTATTTTGGACTCTGAGGACTGTTTGAATCCGCTTTGTAAAATAGAAAACCGAAAGGGCCAGGGCCAGGGATGTAGCTCAGCAGCACAGCACCTGCCTGGCAAGCATAAGGCCCTGAGTTCAATTTCCAGTACCAGAAAAAAAAAAAAAAAGAGATAGGGACCTCTACAATGAACTAGTAAGGTCCCCCAAATTCCCAAGACAACTTCAAATGTGCAGAAGTAAACAAGAACAAAATAATTTCCTCCCAAGTCATTTGGTAGGAAAACTGAATACCACTTTGCAATGCACCTGGCCCTTTGAGAGGCTGGGAAGACGCTAACAGACCCCAGGAGAAATGCCTTCCAAACATAGACTCAGACAGATCTCGACAAAGATGTGGCCACAAACCTGAGCATAAGGGTTTGAAGGTGGGATGCGACAAGAGTGGAAAAATGCTTTAAACGTCTGCATACCGATCTGAGGAACAGAACAGGCAATGTTTCTAGGAAGGGGCTGGGGCTGGAACTCTTTTTTCCGGGGGCCAAGCCCGGGTGACACTAACCCTGCCTGCTTGGACGGCCCCTGTGCGGTTTTCAGTGTTCAGAGAAGCAGCAATGAGGTTCCGAAGGCCACGTGGTGGCCAGCGTGTGAGGAGAGGGTGCCAGGGGTCGGTCAGGTTACCACAACCATAGGCTCCTCAAAAACAGCACCCAGAGGGCCAGCGGCGGCCCCTGTCCAGTAGGGATGCTGTCTTCAGGTTGGAACAGGCCATTACCCAGGTAGTGGTGCTGTCACGTGGCACCAACACAGGCAAGCAAGACCCTCCCATGAGCTATACTGCACGAGCAACATAAGAGTAATTGCTTCACACAACTCTGAGGGATTTCAAATAAAAATCTCCGGGATTCTGCCCTCACCTGACTTCACTGCCGATCAGTAACGGCTGCCTTCTGGCTCCGAGCCGACCCTGGCACACGTCTGGCCAGCAGAGAGAAGCGGCCCCCACAAACTGAAAATGTGAGCCAGGTTTCAGGGGGCTCATGAAATCAGACTCAAAGAAAGGAGCCCAGAAACAGACCCTACGTGCCCCAACTGTGAGGGCGACACTTTTCTTGAGTAAGTTATTCAGACAGAGAACTCTAAAGGGAATCCATTCTGATAAGACAAAGGCAAAACATCCCAGTCTCTCTGAAACTAGCAGAAATTCCATTTTAAACATTAAGGAGCTCTGGCAGGGCCACACTCAAGAGTTCTCCCAGCAATCATCTCCTTCCCAGGAGAATAAATGCATTTTATCCATGCAATGCAAACGCTGAGCTATGTAATTTTTCAGGCATATAACTCATAGTGGAACAAGAACTGGGCCTACATGTTCATGATAAACTTCAGTCTGCTCCAACAGTAATTTCACACTGTCCTCTCCAATCAGTTGTTTATTTTTAAGAAACAATAACGCATTAAATAATCAGTTGAGAAATTGGCCAATTTACTACAAGTTAAATGATATAAAACCTCAAGTGTTAGAAACAAATTTAAAAAACACCCAATTAAAGAACAGAGCTCAGGACAAAAACACTCTGTGGAACGAAACAGCATCCATTTCCTTTTGGGAACACAACACCTCCTGCAAAGAGCACAGGTTTGGCTGTACCTCTTAAAGGACACTCACCCGCTCTGGGGGAGGCCGCGCCCAGCAACGCTGGAGTGCCTGGCAGTGGGCCCTTCCTTCTCTGCCCCTCCTCCCAGCAGGGATCGGCTTCAGGCTGACCTTGGTCTGCAGGGGAACCCGGACCACACCCAGGCCAGCCCACCCTCCCTACCTACCTGACCGGGGCGCCCCTGCTCTGTGCGGGCTTCAGCAGGACAGTCACCGTGTTGTCGGTCTGGTTCAGAGGGGTCTCGAGTTCATAGGCTGGCATGGACGGGGCTGGGGAGGAGGCGGACACAGAGACACGTTATTTCCGAGCCAGCATCTCAGGACTCGAACATTCTCCTCCCCCGGCACTGAGCACACAGCCGCCCGCTGCCCATGAGTGAGTGCGATGGTGAGAGTGCCTCACACAGAGGGGTGGGTGCTGCTGCCGACTCCCCATCTGGGCCAAGCCGAGCTGGGACAGGGTGCAGGTGGGGGCCGGAGCAGCTAGCCATGTTGTTTCCGGGTCTGAAATCAGCCTAAATGGGTGGACACATCATGCTGCCCACTTAATCTTTGTGCTCACTGTGTAATGTGACCTCAGGAACACACTGACCGTGAAGGCATCACCAAGTTTTGAGATAATCACTGGGAACGTAACACTGCACCTGAGCCAAGGTTTCTTCCATCCAAGGAGTCACCAGGGGTGTACAGAGGACAGCAGGTCAATGCCTGACAGGGGTGTGGACCAGTGGGAAACCCAGGGACTGAGGAGGGGACAACCTGGGTCTGACTCCTGGTGGTGGTGTTTTTGGGTATTTAATTTCTGCATGTTTGCAGCACATGATGATTACATTCTTCTGGGGCGCTGGTGTGTGTGCCATCCCCAAGAGAAAGATCTGTCTCCCTGTTTTCTTCTATCTTTTATTTTTTCTCTAATATACTTTGTTTTCACCAGTGTAGGAGCTCAGGCACAGAAGTCATCTCTGAACCTTCAGTTTCTGTACCTTTCGAAGCAGGGGAGCAGCCTTGGAAAACAGCTGTGACAATTTTACAGGGGCCCCAGAGCACCCGCCAAACAGAGCTGTACAGATGCTATCCCCCCACCCAGTGTGGTCCTGTTGCCAAGGATGTTTTCTGGGATCCTTTCCTCGCTAGACTGAGATGTCTCACCACCCTAAGGTAACAGTGGAGCTCCTCACCCTGGGCAGGACAAACCCCCACATGGGGCTGTGATGTCTAGGACCCTTCTTGCTGCAACCTACAGGTACAGGTGTCCCATGGAGAGGCTGGGGAGGGTCTCTTGCAAAAGCCGTTTGAAAAACATAAAAAAGCTTCTGTGTAAGATAGGGTCTACCTCTCTGTCCATCACATTTTCTCAGCATCTGAAACAGGTGTCAACTCCCCAGAAGGAACATGATCACTGGTTACTACAAGCACTAATAAAAACTGAACACAAAGTTTAAAAGATATTGACTTCAATTCCATTAAAATTAGCTCCTGCTCGTAACACAGAATTATATTTTATATATGAGAGTGATTCCTTCTCTTTGGGCCATGAAAATAGAACCTATAAAGTGAACTTGCCACCTCCCTTGTACCAGGGGTTGAACCCAGCCCTTTTATTTATTTTTGAGACAGAGTCTTGCTAACCTTGAAAGATTTGGATCACAGGTTTGCACACACTCCTGACTTACTCTAACATTTTTAACTTTTTGAAAGTCAGATGGTTATCTTCCTAAGCCTGTGTCATGCACATTTCTTTGCCTTTGGAGTGAGTTACATGAACGTGATGTATCAACACTGGCCAGATTCATATGGCTTGGAAATTTTATATAAAAAATGTGAGAAACGCAAATTCTTCTTTTCTAACAGAATATCTTCCTTAAGATAAAAACCTTTGAAATGTGGTTTCTATCAGGGAAATGTTTAGAAACTATTCAGAGGTGTCTGTATTGGGACATACTTCTTTCCTAAGTTGCCCTGATAAATCGCCACACTAGAAGTTGTGAACTCACACACAGGGGCCAATTCGCTTGATGACGATCAGAGACAAGGTACGTGGCGGAATCATCACCGAAGCCCAATTTTCTCATTCCGAGCCCAGTGATCTTTCTCCCTGTACGTCTGCACAGCCCTAGTCACTGTAACCTTCCAAGATGACTTCTTTTCCAGCTATGCACTGCTCTGTGCCCTAGGGCTTTACACTGGATAGCAAATGTAAAGTGAACTCCAAGTCAAGCTTGTGCTCATAACTAAAATCTACAACACTTAGAACACTCTAATTATAGAGCTTCCTTCCTTCTATTCCAAACTTAAACTTTTACCAAGCTAGGAATGGGGCAGAGCAGATACCGGACTAAACAGAGCTGACCTGAGCCCAGCTGAGATAAAGTTACTGCTGTCCCCACCTCCATGGCGCCTAACCTGGGCAGAACAATCGAAGCCCAAACTCAGTACTTCTCTTCCCAGGGCGGGGAGAAAGAGAAGATGGAGGAGGAGAAGAAATGTCCATGGGGTTTGTTTACTGTGGTTACAAGTCCCACACCAGAGGGGAACTCCATTTCCTCTTGTCTGGGAGTACAAAGACATTTTCTGAACTACAGAACACACCCAGAGATATTTCCCCGATGACATCTTTTGTTGGATGGTGTTGATGTGTCTAAGGAAAGTCCCTGAGGCCCTGGTGCCATGCTGTGTGCTGCCTGCTGTTGTGGGTGGGAACTGCTGGTGGTGAAGGTCCCCAGGAAGGCGGGTCCTTGCAGAAGGGGACACTATGTGATTTTGGCCCAATTCCCCACAGCACTGCTGCGCCGCAGGCTTGGGGTTGCGGAGGATGACCGTGCCTTTCATCCAGGTCCTCCTGGGCAAACCAGCACACTGCAGCCGCTCCCACCCAGGCAGACCCTACACTCCAAAGGGCACGGCTGTCCCATTCAGTTCTGTGAAGTTGAGTTTCAGGCACTCAGGAAGATCTGCATGGAGAGAACACGTTTGCATGTCTGAGCTCTGCACTCTTGACCAAGGGAATGAAAAAGCATGAAACTGCTACTTCTGACAGAAGACAGAGCCCCCAGTGCGGAGTACCTGAGATTTTGGTGGTGAACTGGTTTGTGGCTGGGGGCCCGAAGCCCTTGGCTGTGCTTGCTCGGATGGTAAAGGAGTATGTGGTCCCTGGATACAGTCCGAAAAACAGAAAATGGGTTTCGTTTCCCAGCTTTGAAACTCTTCCACTTTGATTGGATAAATCAATTTCTGGGTCAAAGGAGCTGACTGCTTTGTAGGTGATCTGCAAAAGAGTAAGACGAGATAAAAATGGATAAAAATGTCAGAAGCAGGCGGCCCCGATTGCATCTCTGTCCCCCACACCCTTCTGATGTCTACAGTCAGACCCTTTAGGGTCGGCTTCCACCTCAGTGTGACTCTGCACCCGCTGGAGCCAGTCAGGACCTGGCCCAAATTGCCACCTTTACAGATGGAGCAACTGGAAGTCAGTGACATGCAGGGTGAGTTCGGGTGAGCTGACACCGTGAAGTTGTTTGCTTTCAAACAGCAGTTCTGTACAACTGCAGAATAGCTGGTTTTGAACAAAATAACAGAACAGACAAGTAGCTCAGGCAGATAAGGCCCTGAGCAGCACCCGGTCTCATCCCTCATCCCATGGCCCCGATGTCACTCAGCACTGAATAGGTTTATTGTCTGCTGGGAACAAGCGCACATTTAAGGGTTTTCATCAATGTGGGCGAAGATATCTGCACCAGAAATAAACCCTAGACACACGCCAGTGTTCCCAGAGCTGCAAGTGGAGGGTTCGTCACATTCGGTTACTGTTCTCGAAGCGTCACAATGGAATGGAAAGGTCCCCCTCTGCACTGGGCAGGATGGACGGCGGCCGCAGGCGCATGGGGTAACCGAGCACTCGAAAGGCGGCTACTGAGACAGAGCAACTGTAGACTTCATTTTCATCAGCTAAAATTTCAGCTTAAATCACCGTGAGTTACCGTCACTTCCGTCTTGGAGTGTACAACTCTAAAAGTTTTCACATTTGCCACCTAACATATTTGCATGTTGGATGAATCAGGAACGTTTGAAAAGAGAACATAGGTGACTTTAAATTTTGCTCTTTCAAGAGATGTTTTTTTAAAGAGAATTTCAATATGAGTGGTTCATCAACTATTGAAGAACAAGTACTTCAGTGGTGATTGCTAACTTCTACTGGTTGTAATGACATAATTTTAAAATGTGGCATATTCAAAAGTTTTAAATTACAAAACCAAGCACTTTTCCTGCTTCTAAATAGGTAAACTTACTCGTAATTTATGTGCATGAACGCTAACACTGTTATTATACGAAGTGATAATTGACATTCTTTCTTCTTATATTTATACCGTGTCATTATAATTAAGAAGACCTCTCCGCGAGAATATTTAGACTGAATCAACTGCGCTGTGGCAAGGAAATGCATGCTGTATGTTAGTTGCAGCCGCTTGTGACACCGAGGTGGGGCGGGAGATCAGGGCTAACCCTCCCACGGGCTTCCCGACTGGGCTGAGGAGTCAGAAGAGGCGAGATGAGATCTGCCGCCCAGGACACCCTGGGCGATGCGTCCTCGGGGTGCCTGCTGCCTGGGCCTTCGGAGCGAAGGGAGCTCAAAGGCGCGGTCCAAACTGCGCTGCCAGGGTAGCTGTTCCCAGAGTCCACTGTCCATTTGTCACACACCTGTCCAGGGCCCGAGTCGCCATCTTCATGCTGACCCCAAACTTCAGTGAGACACAAATGCACAATGACAACGCCTGTGCTTCCTGTTCAGACCTGCGCCCTGCTGCTCTCCAGAAGCCCATAGGCAGCGCCTGACAGTGGTCACCCTCTGTGATGCAGGGTATGACGACCGACAGCCCGCACACCCTCTGACACTGACACTGCCTTTTATTTTTCCAGTAATGAGGATCAAACTGAGCTACATCTCCAGCTCTTTTTTTTACTTCTTATTCTGAGACAGGGTTTTGCTCAGTCACCCAGTGTAGGTTCAAACTTGCAATCCTCCTGCCTTGGCCTCTGGGAAGAGTACGACACTGCTTTTGCTCCGTGCTGTCTTCTCTACCTGTTCAGATTGGCTCGCTTACTCCTGAGCACTCGCAGTCTTCAAGAAGCCTGGCTGGCAGGGAAGCCAAGAACCTGGCCAGGTGTTCTGCAGTATGGAGCCCTAAGAGAAGGGAATTCACAACTGTAGAGCAGCACTCACGGAGGCACAAACAGGGTGTGCAGAGAAATGGCGCTGTGGGAAGAAGGTCACCGCTGAAGAGCCCATGGCTGTCAAGTGCACGGAGTGCGTGCATGGCACTGCCTGGACTGATGACAACGGGGCTGCAGCAGGGGTCTGGGGGATCGGGCCCCAGCCATGTCTCAGATGGGTGGACTGCGGGGAAGGGGTTCAGAAGGCAACCGGCCAGTGTCCTGCCCTCAAGAGCTCTGACCTTCAGGACAGGAGGAGTGACAGAGCTGGAACAGAGAGTGAGCTGCCCGAGCCCAAAGAGGAGTAGAGAGAAGGTGTTCAGGAAGGAAATGCTCTCAAGAGACGAAGTGGGGGTGCGCGTCCACAGCCCTGTCCAGCGCTCCAGTTCCCTTCTTTGTGCCATGCCTGCCTTGCAGGGCTGGCGCCCCCTTCCCAGATCAGCAGTGCCACCACGTACATCACTCGGAGATGGGTCAGTGCGCAGTCACCTCTCTTGCCTAGTCCTGAGTCACGATCCAACTGTGTCAGAGGAGTCGGAAGAGCTCCTACAACTGCATCTGGTTCTGAGTCCTGACGGATGCCTCTCCCTGCTCCAGATCCCATGGCGATCAGTAAACATTTGGGCCCCTAAATAGCCTCCTAACAGACCCTGGGGAGAGCAGGTGCTAGAGCAGGCACAGAGCGAAGGCTCTCAGAGGGACGGACGCCGCCGGGGCCCAGGGACGCGCACCTGGAATGCCAGGGGATGCAGCACTGGGTCTCCTACCTGCCTGCATTTTAGCCACAGCCCTTTGGAAGTTTGGTAAAAATTACAGAGCCTCTCCTCTGTTCCTACAACATGCACATGTATTCTAATTTGAATCCCGTTCCCATCTCTAACAAACAAGAATGTTATGCACCTACACATACAAAATGTCAGAAAGCCCTGCAAATCTAGTCATGGGACAGCCCGAGATGTCTTCTATTCCCACTGCAGCGGGGACAGTAGTGGGCAGCTGCTGGTGAAGGCCCCTGTGCTTTCCACCCACACGCTCCCAGGCAGGTGCCTCTTACTAGTTCATCTGCTTGTTCAACAGATGCTTAGGAGACGCCTGCCAGGTCGAGGGCAAGGGCGGGAAGGGAGGAGCGGGGACACTGTTGCGCCCCCACGGATCTTACTGGGGCATCCCAAGACAGAGCAGAGCAACGCTCACACTGCACAATGTTCTGACACTCAGGGGAGCTCCTGGCACTCCCCAGACGACCTTCCCTTCTCTCCACAAAGTCTCAAATTCTAAACGGAGAGTTTCGTAGAGAAGCAAAATGGAATCACATTTTCAGGAGCTGAAAGTTTCCAGAAGTGAGAGTGGATGGTAACTGGGGCCAGCATAAAACACAGGCCTCTCACTCAGGTCTGAGCAGTCTGCTCTGTGAATGCAAAGGACTGAAAACTCAAATTTGATTCCGGGGGAAAGGAGCCAAAGACACTTCGGAGGGAAGCGGCGTGGGAGCGAACTCCAAAGGGTCGGTGGAAGGAGAGGGAGGACGGCGCGGGGGGACAGGGGTAACAGCAAGAGCATGGTGGTGTCCTGGATCAGGTCTACAATGTCGCCAAGGTCCGGGGACCCAAGGTGGCTTCTGGAAGCTGACTGGCTCCACTGCTGAGTTCATAGCTGAGCCTGGTGTCAGGAGGTGGGTTGTAGAAGGTGTGTTCTCTGGTTTTTTTTTTGAGATGGGGTCTCACTATGTGGTTCAGGCTGACCACAGACTCACAGCAATTTTTCTGCCTCAGCCTCCAATGACAAGCACGCACCACACCTGGCTCTTCTTGTCCCCCGCTTTGCTGTTTCTCAGATGCATGGTGGGCAGCCTTCTCCCCACACACCCTCCCACCATGTACCTCCGCCCTGGAGCCACTGACCTTGAATGGACCCATGCCCTGCAAACAAGGGGCCAATTGAACCCCTGCTCCCTGGACAGTTTGTCCCAGTGCTGGGAAAGTGATTAGTACAGGTGGTGGGGGAATCCAGGAGGCTCCGACACAAGAGAACTTCAGGGCGTGGTTCAGTAAATTCCAGGAGGAAGGTGATGGAATCGAGATTAGATCCAGAAAGCAGACTTCTTCACACCGCTGGTGAGCTCCCACCCTTCCACGCTGCTCCCTGTCGGAGTCAGGGCAGATGAGGGAGCCAGTTACCCAGCCCCAGCTACAACAGTGAAAGTCCAAAAAGGACAAGTCCAAAACACTCCGTCCTCCTTTCCACGAGCCTAAGCACAGCTGCACCTTAGACGCTATTCGAGTGTTCCACGGGGCCCTGTCCGTTTCAGACCATTTTAATATCCTCCTGTGTTAAATGTCAAAAGCAAACCCGCTGTGGGGTTATTCGCAGGATCAGGACTCCTGGCTATTGAGAGAGAAAGTCAGATTCATACAGATACTGGGGACACATCCTTGTGCACCTGGGACTATTACTACCTCATGAACTCCTACACACAGGTTTCAGACGCAGGGCTTATCTTTTTTTTTTTTTTTTTGGTACTGGGGTCAGGCTTGGGACCTTGAGCTTGCCAGGCAAGTGGCAGAACCACAGAGCTAAATCCCTGGCCCCGTGATGTGTGTCTTCTGATGGACGTGTTCACCTGCCCACAGGAGTGTGAGGACACGTGGGTACCCACACTGCGTGTGCACGCCTGTCTCCACGTCACTGACCGATGCCTGACGTTACAGAAGTGCAAACCTTCTGAGCCACTTAATTTCTTGGCTTATTAGTAAGGCTGGGCAGGCACAGGGCCATATGTTTGTCTGCCACTCAGATTTCTGAGTTGTCTCCTCTTATTCTTTTTCTTGATTCTTACTGGGTTGCTTCATATATTACAACCAGCAGCCTACTGAGGGTAGTAGTATTGAAAATGATTTCTCCACCATTATTAGATAAGAGGAAGGGGAAAAAAAGGAGAACAGGGATATAAGGGAAGTTAATAGGGTAGATGGATATGGATTTGACCAAAATATGTTACATCTATGTATGAAAATGTCACACTGAAACCCAAAACGTGCACTAAAAACAGATTAATAAAATTTCTCCAAGCATTCCAGTATATTTAAAAGCCTGTTCATTTAGGCTTTCTTTGTTGTACTTTTCATGCTTCAGTAGTTTAAAAAAATCTTAAATGGTGCACTCGGCCAGTCTTTTCAACAGCTTCCTGGGTTCCACGAGACAGATGTAGGATGCAGGACACCGAGCGGTCCTCTGCACTTCTCTTAGAGTGTTCTTAGGAGCTGCGCTTTTGTCTGTAGCTCACGATCGCATCTGCCATGTATTTTTGCAGGATGTGAAGTGGGGCTTCCTTGGGAAGCTACTCCGTAAGGGAGCCTGAGGTCTGCTCGCTTCAGAAGCTGGCAACTGCCTGTTTATAAATACACTTGCACTACAGTTCATCCCTTCCTTGAAGGATGCCTATCTGATTCTTAACAGTACTTAACTCTCAGAAGAAAAACTAAGGAATAAGCATATTTTATTTCGAATATTTCTGTATTTACAAATGCGCTCAGACAACAGTTGTACATTTATAACTCACAAAAGAAAGACGATTTTGGTGGCTACTGAGGAAGGGTGTGATGATCAGGACCAGCTCTAGGAAGGGGCTCTCATCCAGTAAACGTTGGAAGTGGGGGGCAGGGAGAAAACCCGACTGGAGAAGGGAGAGGGGAGGCTTGGGGGGAAATCGGGGTTAGAGAGATGGCAGAGGATGACAGCCAGGGCACTGGATGCCTCACTCGGCCACAACTTCCGCAGCAGCAGCTTTCTGTCGCCAACGCCCAGCGCAAAAGGAGACCTCAAGAACGATGCAAACCTAGCACATTTGCAGGTACTGACCACACTTCCACCTGGCTTTACTTCCCTCCCCTCAGAGCCGCTCACAGGAAACGCTATGCCACTGACTGCCGCGTGACCTTCTGTTCCCTCCTAGCGTCTCCTCCACGCCTAGGGGACTCCGGTGCTCCTGCTGCACAGGCGGCCCGTGTCTGACACCACAGCGCAATGCCTGCCCAGGAGATTGCGGCTCTGCAGCGAGAGACCCCAGGCGGGCACCACACGGACCCTCGGGCTCTCAGGAAGCGGCATTACAGCAGCCTCAGTTCTTCCCAGCCCCTGCTGAGACACAGTGCGCCCCCCTCCCTGCTTGGAAGAGTTGGGGGGCAAGCGGGTGCCCAGAAAACTCCTATTTAATCGCTTACTCCTAAGCCACACGCTTGACATTTCCCCTTCGGTTCAACAGAAAAATGGGCCAAAGCCTCTACTGTGTAAAGCCTGGGTGTCTGACACATACAGCAGCAGCATCTGGATCAGGATTGAAGAGGAAGGTCCTGGCTGCAGAGCCCGAGAGACCAAGGGGCTGTGCCTCTGTGTCACTGCTCCTCTGCTGTTTCCAGGCTAAGGTTGCTTGGCGCACAGATAGTGTCTGGTGGGATCAGAAAGTCTTGCTGGTATTTTCGTCTGTCTAGACAGCAACATGTGGTTTTTAGGGCATCTGGACCTACTGCTTGAGTCATTTTTTAAGGTACTAGGGATTAAACTCAGGGCCTTCTCACTTAGCTACATCGCAGCCTTTTTATTTTTTTATTTTGAGACAAGGGGTCATAAGTTCAAAAATCTGAACTAAAGGCTTCTCATCGCTGAGGAAACAAAGTGAACTTGTTTGATTTCATTATTCAACTTAGCTCTGTAAAAGCCGAGCCATGAAAGCTCAATTATCTTACAAGAAAACAGCCAATCAACATCAATAATCGCAGATTGCAAATCAATTTTTTTCTTTTGTTTTCAACTAACATATATATTTGTACCAATATATATGAATATATTTTTTTCTCGTTTCAATAGCAGTGTCAAGGTGTGAGGCTGTGGTGTCGAAGGGGCTCCCCGTGACAGCTGTCTGACAGCTGACCCGAAAGGTTTTCAGGGAGAGGCTGCCTGCCAGCACGTGAGGATCTGCCACGGGTTTCAGAAACCTTACAACATATAATTTCGTTGAATTTGCATTCAAATAAGTGCTAGCTTAAAAAAACACACCTGCCTGTTTCTATGACAATAGGCATGGGGGAATGAGGCTGGCACAGACGCGATGATGAATGTCACCCTGTTATTGCTGTTCGTTTTTCCCTTGAACAATTCATCAAATTCTCCCGTGCCATCTATCACTCAGCCGTCTGTCCCGCCTCAGCAGACAGCCGTGTCAGTGAAGTCTAACGAACGCTTTGTTAATGCCAAGGAACTGGAGACTTCGCTGTACTCGCTCCCCAGACACCTTCCACTGACTGTGCTAATTGGATAATTGGTGTTCTTCTCTAATTCGGTAGAAAAATATTTCACAGGTAAGGAAGAATAGGAATAGTGTTTGCCTCCTCACCCATGTTATGTTTCAAAATACTTTTTGTTTTCAATTAAGGTGACTTCTTAAAATGCTATGCTGTTTTGATAGATGATAACACAGGCTCCAGAAATATCCATTCCCATATACATATGCCTTGAAATGATACGTAATTCTAAAACTTGTTTTTCAATTCGAGGTTCTACAGCGCTTGCTTGAGGGCTCCAGGAAGCCTTGGCATTCTCAAAAGGCATTAGATGATCACGTTTTTCAGTTACACAGAGCCCAGATCAAACAGGAGATGACACAGAAACTGCCCAGGAGAGCGGGCCCTACCTCATAGAGTGTGATGACACCATAGGTCTGCGTGGGTTCTCTCCACTGCAGGAAAATCTTCTCTTCAAAGGTGCTTCCTTGGATGGACTCAGTCGGGACAGCACCTGGGACTGAGGGTGGAAGAGGTAAATCAGGGGTGATAGCCCACCCCAAGGAGCTGTCGCCCTCTGGGGACACTCCACAGGACTGTGTCTCAATATCTGGCATCTGGAGCCAGTTTATCTGTGCTGCCCTTACCATTTTTTTCTTTAAAGTGTGAGCAAAGGAGAACGAGAAGACACTGAGGAAGTTGTGACACCGGTGGGCTTAGAGAGCTAGATTCCAGGCTCTGGGACCAGAATACTCACGCAGGTCAGAGCCGAGCTCACAAGGCCACATCCAAGGGCTCTACTAAAAGCCTGCTCCTCTCGGCCGGGAGAGTGTTACTGTCAGTATCCAGCCCCCAGTGGGGCTCTGTTAGTCTGCTGCATTATTTATTTAAACATATTCTTTAATGGAGGTGCAGGTAAAAGGAAGATAAAACAGAAAAATAATCTTCTGCTTTCATTAAATATGAGTGTGAAGTGGTAAAAGCATATGAGAGGTCCTCAAGTTATGCTGATCAAAGAACATCCCAGAAGATCAACACACTGAAGGTACCAGAAGGAGACCTTGGAAACTTTAATTGGCTAATATAATTTTATTAAGGTGAAGAACAGATAAAATGAAGCTGGGCATGGAATGATGCCTGTAACCCTAGCGAATTGGGGGGCTGAAGCAGGAGGATCCCAAATTTGAGCTCCCCTTAGGCAAGTTTGTCTCCAGACTACAAAGTGGGGAGATGGAGGTATGGAGATAGATCAGTGCAAAAGCCCTTGGTTCAGCCCGTAGGACTGAAATAAAAAAAAAAAAAAAGAACAGATAAAATAAGCTTCAAAACCCACCCAGAGATTCATTAAATGTGAGAAGCACCTCATAGGAGCGTAAGCTTAATAACTGTCTTTAGACGTCCTAGGAATCCAGAATTTGGAATATATAACCATAATATCTAAATCTGTAAGATTTAGTCCTGTGCTGTACACTGATACTCCTAACAGTAACAAAAATATTTAAACATTTCTACAGACTTTCTGATAAAATACACTTCAATAAAACAGAAAACTATGATAAAACAGTGCCAATGAATTATAATAGATAAAACAGAATAACCCTGCTTTCTTGTTTCTTCAAACTGTATATACTGTTTGACAGTGATTCTATTTTTGTTTCTTTCATTTCTCTGTCTTTTTCAAGTCTGGTTTTTTATTTTTCTTTTTTTTATTGGTTAGGAAATGAATTTACAATGCTAAACTTCATTTTCTAATGAACTGAATGTGGTGAGCTATGAAAACAATAGCTTTGGGTGTTCTTCGGTGTGCACGTGCTTGTCAAACAAAGAACCCGAGGTCAAATGTAAGACCCAGGAGCACTCTGTCTCATATCTGTGCCCCTGCACACTGGTTCTCCAGTGCAACCAGTGTGAAAGCTTATTGGTATCCATGCTAGGACAGTCATGGCATAGTTTTACTATTTTGAGATTCGTTTAGAAGTTTGTAACGATTGTGTGTTTGCTTTTGTACCATGAGTGAATGGTAACACATATGAGTGATTTGTTAAGTCCACTAAGAGAATATTCAATTCACCTCATGTAGCATTACGGCCTCGAGGCGCACCCATCTTCCTCCAAATGACTCCCGTCTTTCTCTCTGGCAGAGCAGTGCTCCACAGTGTGCACTCCCCACCCTTTCTTCACCTGCTCCTCTGCTGACGGACACACAGGCCACTTCCCAGCATTAGCTCGCAGCAGCTGTGCTGCTATAAACACGAGTGAGTGTGTGTCCCTCTGAAATGAAGCCCTTAGGTCTTTGCAAGGTACCTTGGAAGGGAGTAGCTGGGGCAAATGGCATTTTAAAATACTGCACAGCTTCAGTTATATGAGAAGCCAAGACAGAAATAAAGAGCAAAATAAAAGATAAGGCAGACGGATACAGGGAGACAGATCTTTGGCAAAGGGAAGGGGACCAAGAGAGGGAGGCGGGGGACCTTCCTTCTTCCTCAGTAGTTTGGGCAAAGGGGGTGTGAAAAAAAAGTGGATGACTAATGAGATAACGGACATTGTGAAATGGGAAGAAAGGGGTTAAAGGTGTAGGGCAAGTGGGAAGGGTAGGGGAAGGGTAATAAGGGAAAAATATGAGAAAATGAAAAGATGGAAATAAAGTGTTTGTAAATGGGGAGGGGAGGAGGGGTGAAGGGAGGGCAGGGACAAGGGGAAAAAATGAGAACCAAAACCTGTCATGTAGAGGTACAAGATCCCAATGATGAATGTAACTGTACTGTATACCTAAAATGTACCAATAAACTCAATAAAAGAAAAAAAATGAAAAAGTGGATTGCTGTGTATAGGCACTGAGAGAGTCCCCACGAGCAAGGCGGTCTTTATGTGCTTACTGCAGACACAGACTCTAAGAACTGAAAATAACAGTAGTAAAATAAAAAACCACCCCTTCAGAAATACTCAATTGTGATGTTATTCCTTGGAGGAAAAACTACCGTCCCCTGCCCATGGACTGGCTGAGGCAGTACCTCGGGCCCATGCTGGGAATCAAGGGTGGCCTGTTTCGTGCTGAATTTGTGCTCCGAACTATGAAAGACTCTTCCCCTAGCCACGGAATATACACCGACATGCCTGAAGCCATTTTCAGCCCAGCTCGGTGCCGCAATACGAACTGCACAGTCAGGGAGACAGGAGGCCGGGAGCCCCACACCGCCGTCCCCTCTCTGGGAACCAGCACCCAGGAGCGCGAAGCTCGCGTCAGCGCAGTCCCTCCCTCTCCGTCCACAGAAAGAGAAAGGCCGGGCCCAGGCCGGGGACACTCACCATCCTCGTCCGTCTGCACCACCAGCTCCAGGCTCTCCTTCCGGCCCTCGGGGTTCATGAGGATGAGCTTGACGCTGACGTTGGTGTAGGGGGCCAGATTGGTGATGGTGTGCTGCGGGTGGGCGCTGTCCTTGTCCCAGCTCACCTCCTCCCGCACCTGCTCCTGCCGGCCCACCTGGTAGCAGTAGTGCACGGTGAGGTTGTAGCTATGGCAACGGGTCACATTGTAGCCAAAGGGCTCCCAGCGGATGGTGATTTGCCGAGACTTGACCTCGACTACTTCCAGTTTCCTTGGTCCACGCATGGGGTCTGTTTTAAAAAGAAAAGAAGACAAAGAGCACATAAGAGACAGGAGTGTGAAAGAGCGCCGACGTTCCTACCTGTCGTGGATTCCAGGTCTCCCCTTCCCCAGTAACAACACCCAGAACGTAACAAGGATGAGGCCCCCAGAAAGGTACACTTCCCATTCCCCTCTGCAGCAGAACGTGGCCATGCACCTCGTTTCCGAGGTCAGGCGTGTGAGCTGAAACGTGAGGACGATTCTGGGAGGTGTTCTTCAAAGGAAGGGGTGCACTGTCTTCGTTCTTTCATGGCAGCTGGGATGAGGCTGTGCTGTTTGGAGCTCGTGACAGAGAACTGATGGTGTCAACTCGTGTAAGAAACGCCCAGCTCAGGACGGCTGAGTGTGGAAGACCCACACGAGGAAGACTGTCGCCAATGATACACCCAACAGAGGAAATGGAGAAGGGTGCTTCTGATCCTCCGGAGGAGCCCCAGTCCTTGCCCTGCCCTGGGACACTGTGTCCTGGCTTCCAGCGCAGACCCTTCGGCCTCCGGATGTGGACTCACAGGGACACCACACAGAGCGCTGGGCCTTTAGCTGGATCCTTCGGAGCTGCAGTGCACGGACGGCACGTTGGCCCTCCTCCACACCCGACGGCGGGCGGCCACTGGAGCCAACCCTGTAAGATCTTGTGCATTTCAATCTGATTCTGCAGGGTGCACCGACAGACACAGGCTCAGGTGGCCAGGATGGGCCGAGGGGCACTTAAATGCCAGGGACATGGAGCAACGACAAAGGGGGAGCCAGGTTCCTGTAGTCACTGAGCTACGTCATCAGGCCAGGCTCCTTCCACAGGATTATTAAGGCTCCTTTCCTCTGGCGTAAGAAGCCGATCCTAACACTAACTGACACATATGCCGTGTCTTTAAAAATAACTTGTAATTATACTATTTGAAAACATAAAAACAGAGGATTGGGAATCTACTATGCAGCAATACAGCGGTGGGCCAGCCCCAAGTTCAGGACAGAACTCCAGGCCTCTCTGGGTTCCAAAGTACAGGGTCCACAGGATCAGCACTGCAGTGTTCTCGTCTATTCCTGACAGCGGCCAAAGGACTGGGGGCGCGGTAAAGATCCGACGTGACTATTCTAAACATAAACTGGGGAAGAAGCCCTCCTCAAATCCCATGGACTCTGACTCCAGGCTGCGCCCCAGGTCTCCAGTCCCCCAATGGCCCTGGCAGTGAGTCCGGACCGGTACGGAAGGCACTCATTTCTCCTCGGGCCTAAATCCCTGGTGTCTGTCTTCTCTACCATTCAGGATCCAGAGAGAACTCAGAACCGGGCTCTTTTCCCTGCAACCTGCAATCCATGAAAATTTGCAGTGAAATAGAGTTTTCATTTCGCAGATACCAGGTAGGAGTTCTGTGCCACACTGCCGCTCAGGCCACCCGTTGGGGTTGATAATGACAGCTCACACTGTGCTGTCCTTTGATAGCTCTAGGGACCAAGGAAAGCAAGAGAAAACCCTCCAAGGAGTCCTGAGTGGCCTTCTCATAGGATGTTCTTTATTACTGGATTAATTTTTTTTATATTTAAATTACCACTGTTAGGAAAATATCATAAATAAGCTATTTAGAAATAACACTGCGGGTTTTTCCACATTAGTGACTTACAATTTAAAGGAAATGTCTGATTTTATTTAATGCTTCATTAGTTGAAGGTTTGTAACAACTTTTAATAAACTCCAGATTCCTTATACATAAACAAATTAACATGTGTCGCTTTGCCCTTTTCCTTATTAATCACCAGTCTCTGCGAGGACTGTTCTAAACCATTTCCCCAAAGTTTTCATCAATTTTACTTATGAATAAAATGACTAAATGCTTCAGATATTAGCTCAAACAAGCAGCAAAGTTCTAACTTAATTTCAATGGAAAACTACTTTCCACTGCATAAATTTAGTCTGTGTCATTTCAGTGTTCCTTAGCCAAGAAAACAGAGGGTTCTGCTTGTCTCTGTGGTAAGTTTTTTTGAAATGTACATTCAATTCCTTTCTGCCAGTGCCTTAGAATTCACTCATTCCGTAATGGTAAAATTCCATCTCAGACTTACCATACCTCAGCCAAGAGAAACAACTACACCTAGCACAAAGCAGCCACCTTGTGACCAAGTCTCCAATGTCACCACTGTCCCTCAGGGTCATTACCAGACCCTCGGACACCACTGAATGAGGCCTCCACTCACTAGTTGCATGTTCAGCAAACAAAACTGTTTCAGGTACAGATGAGACCTGGCTTCGGATGGCTCCCCGTGCAATGTGACAATGTCACAGCTATAGGTTCAGTAGAAGATAGACTCTGCCTGGTACTGGGGATTGAACCTAGTGCTTTCAGATGGAGCCACATTCCCAGCCCTTTGGAAAAAAAAAAAATTGTTTTTTAAATTTTGAGACAAGGTCTCAGTAAGCTGCTAAGTTGCCTAGGCTGGGCTTGAATTTGTGGTCCTCTTGGCTCAGCCTCCCAGAGTGCTGGGATTACAGACATGTGCCACTGCGTTTGGCTGAGCAGAAACTATTTTGAACTTCCGTCTTTTGCTAGGCCAGTGATATACAGGAAAATCTTTCCCAGGCTGTGGTCCGTGTCTCCCAGCCAATCTTGAGATCACAAAGGGGGAAACAAACAAAACTTTCATGCTGTGTGGCTAAACTGTGATATCTGGTAGGTGGCATGGGTTTAATGCAGCTTAGACACACAGTAGTTTCAACTTACAGTGTGTTGTAATCAGCAGGATTGGGTGAGGGAATACATTATAAATACAGGACACATAACTTATAAGGTTATTTTATGATAATTACCCAAAGAGTCAAATACAAAGGAGTGGAAGAGATTAACCACACACGAGAAGCCCAAGCATTCAACTGAGGGCCTGGATCCCAGCAGTGTCCCACACAGGTCCAGCTAAAGGCTTAGAGTCCAGTCAGTGGCCTGGAACCCACAGCGATGTCTCATGCTTGTCTATATCGAGGATCTGCACCTGGAAGGCCCAAAGGCCAGCGGCAGAAGCCAGAAAATCTGTGCTCATGAGATGAAGGATCTGTGCCACCAGGCTGAGGGATCCACATTGGAGCCAGGAAGTGATGCTCATGGTGAAGGTCAGAGCTCTGCCGAAGAAAGCAGCAGCCATTCCCAGCGACAGCGAGGCCCCAAGCTCCTCCTCTGATGAGAACAGGAGAACAGCCAAGTTCCATCAGGAAAACCATCGCAGCAAGCTTCTCCCAGTAAATCAATAGGCCAAGATCTTCCTCCCCAGTTCTCCTTTTATGGCTGTTGGTAACAGTGTTCAGGTAACAATGCCCAGACCACACTGGTTCAGTTCAGCTGGGCGTTACGAGTTGACCATTAATTAGTCAAACAGCTCCACGGGACATAATGCATCCTGAGTTGCATGGCATCTGTGTTTCTCTTTACATCATTTGTTGGCCTTTTCTGCTGTGTGTATGAAGACTGCAATATGGATGTGGCAGGTGAGGACCACAGAAATAGCCGTGCATCAAGAACAGGGGTAGGGATGGAGGCTGCTTGGACTCAGATTCCTAAATGCTTCTCTGTCGTCAAAAGCTTAAGAGGGGCCGGGGATTTAGTACCGTGGCACTGTCCCTGCTTCGCAAGCACAAGGTCCTGAGTTCAATCCCCGGTACCAAAAAAAAAAAAGCTTGAGAGAAGACCACCATCAACACACGGACCGAGGGACATGGGCCACCTCAGAAGGTGCACTCTCACTGTCTCTTGGCAGGGCCCAGAGGAGAAGTTAAGAGACTGGAAAGATGGCTCCTAAAAACCAGACACAGCAACTGTGGGTACAGTGCAGAGGTCGCTAGCATGCATGCTTGAGGCTCCTGGGTCAGCCCCAAAGTAAAGCGAAACAACATCAACAACAACAGAGCCCAGATCCATCAAGATCATAAGGAATCTTGTCCGCCACCATGCACCTGCGACAGGGGTCTCCTTTAATGGCAGCACTGATTGTAAAGCTGACAATCCTTTAAAAGTACCTCAAACATCCTTTATTTTTTCTTTTCAACTGCCATCCTGTGAAGCAGCCATGTATGTATAATGACTGCAGTTTACAGTGCTTTTATTCTCCATGTTTCTGTGGACCCAATGCCACAGGCATGGGACATCTACCCTAGAGCAGCATACTGAACATCACTGGAGACGCTGAGAGGCACCCCCATCCCTGCAGAAATAAATCACTCTGTAGGAAAGCACAGCGACTTTATAACCAGGAACGGACAATTTCTGTAAGCTAACTGCAACTCACACTGTGTTTCCGAGAGAACACAAACACTACCAAGAAGATATTCTCCGAACCCTTGGCATTCCATTACTACCCCTCTAAGTGCTCAATATATACACCTCTCAGAGTTAGACAACAGAGCAATCGATCACTGCCAGGAGAGCACTAGTCACAGGGTCTTTGTTCCTCTTTCCTCAACCCTAAAGGTGCAATGGGACAGGTGTGGATCCCCAGGCCATGGAGGCACTCCGCCCTTTCCTTGAACACATCACTGGGTCTCCTGCCTGACAAGGGCTGCCTTGGGCTCACAGGAGGGCCGGGGCGGCCATCTCCAGCCTCCCCTGTGGTGCCTGTGGCCTCCTCACTGCCTTCCTTCTCTGCCAGTCTGAGCCAGTTTCGGGCAGAGCAGTCTGAGAGCTGTGCCCTGACTGGAGTGAGGGACCTCAGGCCAGCTCTCCCGCCAGCACTCTCCTATCCTATTTAAACAGCGGGCCTGGCTCCTTCGACTTCCACTCCTGTTTTTCTCCGAATAAGGGCAGAAACGGACTGATAGGATCAATTTCCATTGCAGGTTCAATTCACAGCTCATTTCTCTGGAACTCCGCACTTTACCTCCTATTACTTCTCCAGTGCTTTTTTAGAAACTCAATTTCAGAACCTGGGAGAGATATTTGGGTGCAATTTTAGGATCCTGTCATTGATAATCAAAACCACAGATTACAAGCAC